GGATTGTATCCCAGTATTGCTTTTCCTATTCTTTTATTGACTATGAAGGCTACTCCATTTCTTCTGAGGGATTCTTGCCCACAGTAGTATACCTGATGGTCATCTGAGTTAAATTCACCCATTCCTATCCATTTTAGTTCGCTGATTCCTAAGATGTCGAGGTTCAGTCTTGTCATCTCTTTTTTGACTACGTCTAGCTTGCCTTGATTCATGGATCTTACATTCCAGGTTCCTATGGAGAAACAATCTTTACAGCATCGGACTTTCCTTTCACCACCAGATATATCCACAGCTGAGCGTCCTTTCGGCTTTGGCCCAGTCGCTTCATTCTTTCTGGCGCTACTAGTACTAGCCCTCTGCTCTTCCCCAGTAGCATATTGGACACCTTCTGACCTGAGGGGCTCATCTCCCAGCGTCATATCTTTTTGCCTTTTAGTACTGTCCATGGGGTTTTCATGGAAAAGATACTGGAGTGGTTTGCCATTTCCTTCTCCAGTGGATCACATTTTGTCAGAACTCTCTGCTATAACCTGTCCGTCTTGGGTGGCCCTGCACGGCATAGCTTATAGCTTCATTGAGTTACGCAAGCCCCTTCGCCACGACAAGGCAGTAATCCATAAAGGGGACACATTAGATAGATGGCAGCAATTATGGGAAAGAAACTATAAATTGACAATGGCGACTGCGTATAAAGAAAATATGTACAAAATGTTTTACAGATGGCACATGTCTCCTGAAAGATTAGCTAAAATGTTTAAGGACAGGTCTATGAAATGTTGGAAATGTCATCAGATACCAGGTTCCTTCTACCATATGTGGTGGACGTGTGTAGAAGCTAAAACTTATTGGAATATAATTAGAACATGGATAGAAAAGATGATACAACAACGCATAGAACTAAGACCAGAAATATTCCTGTTGGGTATTCTACCAGAGAAATACAATAAAGAAAAAACATATTTAATTATTCATGTAATTACGGCAGCCAGGATTGTGTTTGCACAAAATTGGAAAGCACTGAAAGCCCCCCCAGAGGGAGAGGTGATTGGGAAAATACTGGAATGTGCAGAAATGAATAGACTAACAAGGACAATTAAAGATAAGACAGAGTCAGACTACTATGCAATCTGGGGAACTTTTTATGATTGGCTGAAAAGAGAATAAGGTTAAAAGATAGTTAACATCAATTTAGATGGAAGAAGAAGGAGCAGATAAGGAGGGAGACCCAGGCGACACAGTATTGAATAACTGGAGGTTGTATAAATGTTTATAGAAGTATATACTGAGAAGGTTAGATAAATAGAAGTAGTAATCTTATTGTATATAATACAGATAGGGAAATTTGGAGAGAGGAGTTGCTCGGACATTACCCCTGAATTGTATCTGAAGAGGGATGAGAGGGAAGAAAGGAGAGGAGAGAGAAAAGAGTAAAAGAGGGGAGAAGGAAGTAGGAAGGTTGGAGGAAGAGGAAAGGGGAGGAGAGTGGTGAAGGAGAGGAGAGGAAGAAGAGGGAAGTAGGGAAGAGAAGAAAGGGAGAAAGAAGGTAGAGAAGAAGGAGTGTGGATACGGTGAAAGAGGAAATGGGCGAGCAACACCAAAAGTCATGTGTATGTATTTATTTAATTTTGTTAAAAATATCTTGTATGTGAGTATGGAGGGAATGTATGTTAACATCTGATAAGTATTATGGTATATGTATGGGGGAGAGTTTGGAAAAATAAAAAATTATTAATAATAATAAAAAAAGAAATGGCTAAGGAGGATGTCTTCCGGCCAGTTCAGTTTGCTGGCAATGGCCTGGAATTCTTGTGTATATTCAGCCACTGGGCGTTTGCCTTGCCTCATCATTTTTATCCTTTCGCAGGCTTTGCGATCAGCCAGGGGGTCTTCAAATCATCTTCTCAGAGAGGACATGAAACGGTTGAAGTTGTTGAGTTCTGGGGCATTGGAGTCGTGCAAGTTCATCACCCAATCTGCAGCCGGTCCATCCAGGGCAGATTGCACGATCTGGATGCGGGCTTTGTCGCTGGGGATGTCCCGCCCATATTCCTCCATGTAGCTGAGGACTTGGGTTAGGAAAAACCCCAAGCGTGTTGGCTCCCCTTTGAATTTCACCTCCAACGGTGGACGTGTTGGAATGGGTCGGTGCCTCCGTTGTTGGTAGTAGTGTCTTCTGTCCAGATTGCCATCTGTGGTTTGGTAGGGGGTGGGGACTACTGGATCAGCAGATGTCCCCCTCGGTGTCTCTCCCTTTGTGGCTCCAGGAGCTAGGGCGGCCGTAGGGCTCAGGATTCTCCTCTCCTACGGAGCTGAGAGTTCTCTTCATCAGATCAATAGCTTTCTCTAGGATCCAGTCTGAGTACGGTGCCCAGCTTTTTCCCTCTTCACTTGCGTGCAGGGATTTCTCCATCTCCTGCTTCCATTCTGGTTGGTTGGCCTCCCGTCTCAGGGTCACCTTTCTTGATTCCTTTCCCCACTCGCTTTTCTTTCCAATGCCTATTGACCAGCGAGGCTTGTGGTCCCGTGTCTCCACCACTTCTTCTCCTGACCTCTCAGATCCCAACATCTGGCAAGGTTCCAGTTGGGTCAGCGGCTCTCTTTCCAGGGAGTTTTCCCTCTTTCTTGCTCCATTGTCTGACATGGTACTTTTTTGCAAAATTCCCCAGCAAGGGTCTCCCTTCCAGGTGGATTAATTTTGCAAGTCCTGTCTAATGTAAGGACCCACCCCACTTTGCATCTTAAGAAGACAGAACTCTTGGAATAATTCTTCCAACAGGCATCCTTTATTAAGAGAAAATGGTTGCAGGCGTTCTAGACAGGACTTGGGGTCCAAGCTCTCCCATTCAAGGTTTTAAGGGGTTCCCCAGTAGCCCCACCCAATCACCCCCTTCTTCCAGCAACAGTCACAGGCATTACACTCCCACCCCCTTTTCCTTACTGCTGGCTGGATGGAGACTTCAGAGAAAACTACATGAAAGGTAATAGCCCCATTCTTATGGTTAGTCCTTTTGGCGATATCCACATTCAGTCACTTTGTAGTGTACGGAAGGAAGTGAGGGCCATAAAGCCCCTTTGTTCACCCCCTTCCCTTCACCGTATGGCAGAATCCAGGGAAGGCAGAAATGGGGTTTTCTATAGTTGATAACTAAGAGATGAAATATAATTTGATTCTGACAGATACTCACAATAGAAGACAAGTCTGGTTAACAAAACAAGGGTTTATTGGAGAATAACATAAAAAGAATAAAAAGGAAAGAAAAGAAGAGAGAAGAGGCGTTTGCAAACATGGCCTCCTGGATCCTTTCCAATGGATTGGATTTCAGGAGCACACTGGCCTGGTTTCAAGATCTACATTTTAAAATACTAATTAGGGAAGATATTAATTCTTGAGTTAAGGTTGAAATACGAAATCAAAATACTATTTCTCCTGTACTGCTCTATCTGTTTCTGAGTTTACTCACAATTCCTCTTGATTTAGCAGAAGTGTAGGCAGCGTCTTGCTCTGTTCTCCCATCCGGAGAACAAAGGCGTCCCAGGATGTGGAGTAGTCCCAGACTTCAAAGGAGCTCTCACTCTTCGTCTCTCAGAAAAAATTCTAAGAGACCAGAAGAGCTCAACTTCTATCTGGTGAGAGCTCACTTTCCTCCCTTGCCCGGGAGGAAAGTTCCGAGCCACAAAACAGCTGATTGTCACTGTTCTGCAGACTCTTACACATACTAAGATGGGCGCCTCAGAGAAAAGCCGCCATCGCCGCAGCGCTAAACACCGGAAGTATTTTAACAAGAAAGGTGTGGAAGGGGAAGAAAAAAGTTTAAAAGTTATAGCTTATGTTTGTTTTGTTTACAATAACCCTGTATTTTGCTCTGGGAAGTGGGGGGGGGGGGGCAGTGGGGCGGGAGGGGATGGGTGGGATTAAGTAGGTTAGATATATAGAAATATTAATGTATAAAATAGATAGAGTAATTCAGAGGGTGGTGCCGCTCAGCTATTTCCCCTGAACTGTATCCGAAGAGGGATGAGAGGGGAGGAGGAAGGGATGGAAGGAAGTTGGATGGGAGGAAAGGATGAGGGGAGAGAGGAGATGAGAGGAGAGAGGGAGCAGAGAAGTAGGAAGGAAGGTTGAGAGGGTGGATGCAGTCTGGGGGAGATAGATGAGCGACACCTAAGGTCTTATTTTAAGGGTATTTTTCTTTTTTTTCATATATAATGTATTGAAAGTATTAATTGTATTGAAAACTGAAATAAAATTTTTTACAAAAAAATCTGCATTTTATACCCCTACAATGCATGTCACATCTAAGAAATGCTTTCATCTTTATAAATGTACTTTGAAATTGTACTTAAAGTCATCTTGACCTCTTTCACCCATCTGCTGTTATCTTGCTAATTTGTAATCTTCACCTAGGGCAGTGGTTCTCAACCTTTTTAATGCCGCAACCCCCAACCAGTCGTAAGTCGAGGACTACTTAACCGGTTGTAAGTTGAGGACTACTCAACTGGTGCAGCACCGTTTGCAGAATGGGACTTTTGGCAGGCTCAGCAGTGCAGAGACAGCCTGGACAATTCCTATTGGCTTTTGAAAGCCAATAGAATAAAAGGAAGTAGCACAGCTAAGGAAAAGGGGGAAAAAATGGCAGACTGTGTTGTTTGGCGACCCCCGTGAAATGGTCATTCGACCCCAAATGGGGTCCCAACCCACAGGTTGAGAACCACTGACCTAGGGTCAAAATCCCCCTTTGATTGTGATTTCTATTCAAAGTGTAAGTTCCTGTTTCCAGAGGGATTTTTAGGCAGTGAACATTGAACAAACCTTCTCACACATTTGGCACTGCATTGCTACATTTGCATTACAGTGTTACATTTATGTTAAATAGACAGTCTCATATATTGGCATTACATTTCTACAATGTTATAAAAGAATAACTTTTATTTCCTTCATTCCCATCCTAACTTTGCTTGTCGAGGATTGCGAGGTGGGGGAAGGTAGATTTTTCACGTGACCCCAGAAACCCTCGCTGCGGACTTTATTCCGCGCGCTGACTACCTCAACGGCCCTCAGAGCAGGTAACTACAACATGGTTGGGCCAAGCATACCCTAACCATGCTAAGCTACGCTTTGCTTAAGCTACGAACTGAAAGACGCGCAAAGCGTGCTGCACGAAGGCGCCTGTTGCAGCCATTTGAGGCCAGAATGACAATCGGGCCTGATTTGAGGCCTTGCGCTTCCTGCCGGGGGGGGGGCGGATGTTGTGTTTTATTTTTCGAGGCCAGAAATATCTGGATTTTCAGTAGCCCATAACTGCTCTGTGTTCTGTGTGAGAGATCCCGGCCGGACAAAAGACCGCAGCCGATCTTCCAGAGGCGGAGAAACGGCGTGCAAAACCGCTCGGGCGCCGCGATTATGCACTTGAGTCGATGAACGGCAGCAGCGATTCCCAATCAAGTTGCCTGTTCTTTCCACAGGTCTTGGCGCCGGCGGGACGAAAGGGGCGTGCGCCGGAGGAGGCGGTGCCGGCCCCATGCCTTTACCCGCACAGCTAACCCGCCCGCCACCTCCCATTCCTCCGCCAGCTGTCCGCTGCCTGCTTTCCCCAGCTTCCGTAGTTGCTGGCTCGGGTAAGTTGAAGGCTCCGAAGGTCACTCACTTTTCCAGAATCGGGTGCTGGAGTGGAGACGGGAGGACGGAGGGAAAGCCACCCTTGGACTTTCGTGGTTGGCGTGGCAGTAAGAGTCTGAATTCCATAGTCAATACCGCAGTGGAAGTTGCATCTCCGCGAATGTCCTCTGCCGGTTTGGGGCCTAAGATCTGGGCGTTTTTCCATTCCTTCGGCGGTGAACTTGCCACTCTTTGCAGAGACGCATGGTGCCAACTGCTTCCCTGCATTTCACAATCCTGCAGCTTTTCCACCAGAGGATGTTCCCCGAAAGACTGGTCGGAGAAATGTGGAATCGATCGATTTTATAAATTGAGCTTCTAGGCAGGCAGCCAGTTCCGCGGAGAGAGATTGGCCGGGGGCTGTGTGTGAGAAAAAGTAGAAAGAGCTTTCTTCTGGGCAAGTTGACATGTATCTCCCACTTTAAAAAACTATGATTGGAGTGGATTTACATGCTCAATGGCAGTGGCCATTCATAGATGAATTTATTACTGCTTTATGACTGATAATTTATGAATGTTTATTTGTTTGAGAATACAAACTTTTAATTCTAGATTTGCTGTATAGGAAGTGTAGTTTAAGGATACAACATATTCATATTAACTTTTTGGCGCAAATTTCACTAGAGACCGATGGCTGGAATAATCTACTTTCAGCAGGGTGGCTATTTCCCCTTTATTTGGGCATTATTCATACCCCAAGTAATTTCCCCACACTTTAAAAAAATTTTCAAGAATTGAAATTAGCATACTATTTTCTTAAGATTAAGGAGAAATGCTATTAACATTAACAGACAGAGACCACCGTTAACTCATTATGTGCCTATTAAAAATTTTTTTTGAGTTCTGAATAATATGAGTTGTAATTGAAAAGAATTAATTAATTTTTCAAATTTGGTATACCTAAGTGAACACAAAGTTTTGGCTTATATGATTATTTTCCTCCATCCCCTACTCTAAGTTCCTATAATGTTTAATTTTATATTTTTCCTAGGTTTGCTACCAAAAATGTAGAGATCTTAACTGCTTCTAACAAAACAAGACAGATTCATGGCAGAAAAAGTTATACATGATTATGCTGCTTCCAGTATCAAGCAGAAAGGCTTTCAAGGCTAATTGTGCTCTTGAGGGTTTCACATATTGGGTTAGACATTTTAGAAACAAAATGCTGATCAAGCTAAGTCACAAAATGCACCTAGGAAAAAATGAGAAATTGTTAACTCTCTGCAAGGGTTGGGAGTTGGCTACTTTCTCACTATTGTTATCTTAATTTTTTCTCACTTTAGAAAATCTTGATTTCCCTAGTTAAGCAATATGTACCATATATTTCCCTCACCCTGCCTTTCAGCTTCTGGGATCAAGTAAACCATTAGTCTTCCCTCTTTATGTCAAGACATATACTACATTGCAATTCATAATGATTTCTTAGTGATCAGAGAGAATTAAATAGAATGGAAGACCGACTTAAATATTGAACAGGTTATTTCAAATTGAATATTTTAAATTTTGTTGTACTGTTATCTAAAGGTTCTGGCAGTATAGTGTTCTTCCTCCCAGGTTTCATTTTCAAATACCTAAATGTATTCAAGTGGCTGTTGATCCTTTCTCTTCTCTACTGCTCTCTGATCAAGAATGCCACCTTTGCTTTATTGCCTTCACAAATGCATGCTGCTTCCTTTCTTAGATCTATGTTATTTCTACTCTCCCCACAGTATTCCATTGTGACTTAGAGCAATTCAGCAAGTCATGCTAGAAGTTACTTGCTGACCATTATAGTACAATCCAGATTATCTTAGAGAAAGTGTTATTAAATTATATTTTAATAGCATTATTTACAGTTATATTTGTTTATTTTTTGTCAATAATTCGAATAGCATCTGAAATAAACTACAATTATAATGTTAGTATGGTTTAAAAATCTGCTGCATGGGTGATAGGTGCCTGAAATATATAGCTAATGGAATCCCACTTTTTTGTGTTTTTCAGAACTGAAGTTTATCTCTAGCTGATGTTTAATAAATCTCACCATGGTGGCTGAAACCGTAGGCCTAGAAAGTTGTTCAATATGGGTGCTGGCACTGTTGGGAACTTTTACAGTAACTGTTCTTGGGCTGGTGCACAAACTAGGACTGATTTATCAATTCTGGCATCAGGTAAAGTCATTTTACAACAGAATTGTGAAATAAAACAACTGGAATCATATGTATCCATTGCATTCTCAGTGGAGGCAGTATTCTTGGAAAAATTATTCAGATAATGAAATATTTTTAGCATGTAGCTTTTAAGAGAAAATAAAAATTTAAAACTATCCCTAGTTTTTATATACTTGCAGTTCATACTTCTGGCTATATATTAGAATTGTGGCAACCAGATTTTTGTTGTGTGACTTCTGTAAAATAGCATCAACGGGTGTCCTTATCCTTTCTAGGTGGACCCTAAAAGTACCCGGCACGGTGGGGAGATAGTGGCAGAGGTGCTGAAAGCTCATGGTGTGCGCTACTTATTCACGCTGGTGGGTGGACACATCTCCCCCATTTTGGTGGCTAGTGAGAAATTGGGCATTCGTGTTGTGGACACAAGGCATGAAGTGACTGCTGTATTTGCAGCAGATGCAGTGGCCAGGCTCTCAGGTATTGCTTTGTACTACTTTATTTTCTGTGGGAGGAATTCACAGACCCAATGACACTTTGAATTTTTCTGTTGCAGGAACAGTGGGAGTTGCTGCAGTGACAGCAGGACCTGGAGTAACAAATACTGTGACAGCTATGAAAAACGCCCAAATGGCAGAATCTCCTGTGTTGCTGATTGGAGGGGCAACAGGCACATTGCAAAAGGTAGGCTGCTCTAGCCACTGGCCCTGAAGTTTGAAAAAGAACAAAGGTGCAATTTGCTAATATTGCTGATTTGTTTTGTTAGATACACGGGCTTTCTCCCAAACCTAAATTAGCTTTTCACAGCATCTGTGTGGTAAACAAGCCACTTTTTATAAATATTTGTGTACCTGATGGTAAAATCAGCTATTTCTATGTGGGATGAGTATAAGAGTGGGCTTTCAGTTTTTTCTCTCCATTCTTCCTCTTCTCAGGGCCGAGGAGCTCTCCAAGATATTGACCAATTATCTCTATTCAAGCCACTCTGCAAATTCTGTGCTTCAGTGAACACTGTCAAAAATATTGCTCCTGTGCTGCGAAAAGCAATTGCAGTTGCCCAATGTAACACTCCAGGTATGTCCTTGTACTACTGACTTGGAATTAAACTGGCCTGCTTGCCCATAATTACAGTTTCTGAGCAGAGGGCAGCTTGGTAGGAGTGATTGCTGGAATAGGCTATTTCTGTCCCATTTGTTAGGATGTTTGATTTAGATTGCTTTTTGCTTTGTTCTTTAAAATCAGGAAGTCTTTCCCTTGGGCCAGTACCATTGTTATATGCAAGCTAAAGCAAAATGGAATTTCAAGAACTTATCCATAGCAACTTGGAAGCAATTAGAAGAGACACTTCTTTTATTTTAGCATAACACTTTATTTCTGAATAGTATTCGCTCTCAGCAGTGTGTTTGCTCAACATTTGAAAAACAACTGGGTCTGGGGATAGCAGCACACCTTTCATACATCTCCTTGGTTCTTAATATTCCTATCTAATCCTCAGAAATAGATTCTCAACATGTCTGAAGACGTTATTTATGTATTTGGGAGGAGACTACCTTTCTTTGGTACATTGAAGTTTGGTTACAAGACAATCTTCCCTCCCTTCTGTTGTAAAATGGCTTCAGAAGCTTTATGCTATGCCTTAGAAGATCAGATACAGGGAAACACCACAGCTACCCAGCAGAGAATTCCCACTTTCAAAACTAACATTTCTGAAATTTTTTGGATTTGGAGGTATTAGGCAACTATTGTCTGGTCTCCAGCCTTTGAGCATTTATAATATTGGTGAAAATTGTCCAATGGAAGTCAAATGTTTTAGTAGTTTTGTGATAAGAATAATCATGCTTGGCAGGGAAATGTACTTACTTAATGTTTTCTGAAGATAAAAGATGTTCCATCTTTGAACAGAGTCTTATTAATATGAAAAAAAATGTGGTTATAAATGTATTGTTTGCTTGGTAACAAATAACAAAGATTGGATGTGCAACTGTCTGATCCAAAGATCAAAAGATTTTAAGTACTGAAGAAATTAAAGTATGTTTTACTGTTTGATCAATTTAATAGCTTTATTTTGTCATCTTGCTTCACAGAGGATACTAAAATTGCATTTTCTGTATTAATAATTGCTTCACAGATGATACTAAAATTGCATTTTCTGTATTAATAATAATATTGGCGGTTCTTACAATTGAGAGCAAAAAATCAAATATTCCATCAGTGATAATTTTTAGAAAAATATGTGAATTGTTTAAAGAGTAGGAATGAATGGTCATTGAATGGTCTTGGAGAAACCATATTTTTCTAGCATGTTGAAATGGTAAAATGGATTGTTTGTTTACCACCCAGTTCATGGTCAGGTGACTATAAGACATAATAGTGCCATATAATATACGGTTATTAATTTAACTACAGATTTTTCTTTAACATTTTATCTTCCACTAAAACCTTTGTTATTCTTATAGGCCCTGTGTTTGTGGAGTTTCCTTTGGATATTCTGTATCCTTATTATTTGGTTGAGAGAGAGATACTTAGGAATGTTTTTCCCAAGAGCCTGAAAGGAAAGGTCGTGAACTGGTGAGTTGTGAGTTGTTATCCTTTTGCTATCAGGAAAGGTTTTAATGGGTCAGTTGGCTCAAAGAAAACCCAATGATAGATTGTTGCACTACAGAAAACCAAGGGGAAGTTCATTAATATGTGCATTGGATGCTGCTATGGAATATTTTTTGTCATATACATGTGTGGATACATACCTCTATACACAATAAACACTCTGATCATTTCTAGATTTTGTTTCTTTTTTTTAAAATATATTTTATTGTTTTTTTTTTAAATTTTAATAAAGAGTACTTTAGACACTGTGGTGTTTGGGTAAACAAACAATTCAAGGTGAAAAACATACATAAACAGCTCAACTTAATACATTCACTATCATCTCTCTATTTCTCACAAATAACATAATAGATTTAATATATTCCATTTCTAGCTTAAATTTCTGTTACTACTCCACCTGTTTTAAAGCTTTATCAATTTAAAATTACCATAATCAAATATTGTTTTACATCAACAAATTATCACTTCAAGTATCTCTACCATGTATATTAAAGTTTTTAATCTCTCTCAACCCTCTTCTTATCACCAATCTCATTCATTTCTTCTTCCAATGATAACTAACTTAATTAAAAAAAAACAATGTTAAACCTTGGTTCCTTTCAATTCATTATTCAAACTTCAAATATCCAATTAGTTATCATACCTTATCAGATCATATTATTATAGGCAAAAATCACCTAATCAATTTAAGCACTTCAAAATTACATTCTCATGACTGAACATTTTTTTTCAACTCCAGAACATACATACATACATACATATGTATATGATTATATATTTTTTATCCTTAATACAATCCATAAAGCCAAGGTTCTTTTATCCAAACCATTCCATACAACAAAAAAGCATCTAACTAATTTAAACACATATGTATATAGTTATAACTGATTTAATTAAGAGAAAAGAAAAAAAATATAATGTTAAACCTTAATTCCTTTCAATTCATTACACAAACTTCAAATTCCATCCAATTAATTATACCTTATCAGATCATATTATTATACACAAAAATCACCTAATCAGTTTAAGCACTTACTAATTTAAACACGCATGTATATAATTGCATTTTTCTTAGTTCTGGTTCTAGATCATTATCCTTAAAACAATCAACATTGCCTTTTACTCCATTAAACATTTTTAAATTTCTTTTTCAGTCTAATTCTGGGTTTCTTTCTATGCCACCTGGGCTTCCATAAAAGCGCTTCCCTTTCAACCAATAAATCCATTCTTAATGCTTGTAGTAATCTTTGGAAAATGTACATCCCTTCCTTTGCAATAAACATCTTTTTTCCCTTTCAACCAATAGGTCAATTCTTGTTACTTGTAGTAATCTTTGAGAAAATAGAAATCTCTTCCTCTGCACTAAATGTCTTTTTTTGTTCTCCTTGCAATGTAGTTGCTTTGTATTTTGAGGTCTTAGTCTTTGCTTCTTCTGGTTCTCTAAGTTGTTGAAGAAAGGATTGTCAGATGAAATAAATTCCACTTCTATCTCTGTAAATTCCTCTTCTGGTACATTTTGATTTATGCCATGATCAGTTGTAACCTGGACATCAGTTTGAGCAAATGTAGTAGAATCTCTGGATCTTAATTCCAAAGTACAGTTTTTAAATGTAGCACAAATTTCTGCAGTGGCCTCATAAATCTTTTCCAATATAAGTGCACATTTCAGTTGTATCTGAGGTTTCTCCATTTTAATATTAATGCTTAAAAGGAAATCTCTTTTCCTTTTTTGTAGAGGCTTTGTTTAATATAAAAAACATCCACCCCCACAGCTTCACAGGTGTACAGCTTATCTTTAGTGTTTTGAAATGCAATAGAATAAACAAAGTTGCAATATTAAATTTTCGCCACTAGATGCCCTCAGTGAGTTAAGAAAGTCTTTTCCAAAAAATCAATTCTTTTTTTCTGTCTTTTAGAGTATAACATATATACGTATACATATATATGTATGTATGCATGTATGTGTGTATGTATGTATGTATGTATGTATGTATGTATATATATATATATATATATATATATATATATATATATACACACACATATTCAAGAATATTGGTAAAAATGCGACTCCCAGACATAATTATGAATAAAAGAATAAAATACGATCACCGGGAGGGTTAAAATAAGAATACTTTACTAAAAATATACTTATACTAAAAAGTTGCCAAGCTTTTGCTGGGGAACTCCCCAGCATCATCAGGGCTAAAAGGCCATTACAATAAAGGTGGTTTAAGTAGGTTCAAGTAACGTTTGCGCACGGCTCCTAGACCGTGTTATTGGCCCTGATTGGCCAGCTGATAACCAAGATGTGTCTATAACGTTTATGTTCTTCTCTTCGGATGCCCTTCCCTATCCCTCCACTATTGGTCTTTGGAGGCGTTAGTAACCTTGCATCCCCTCCTCTTCCGATAATACCAACGCCTGCCGTATCGGGGGGAAGGATTCAATCTGAATGAAGAGAGGAGACACCTCTTTCGCATATGCCATTATAACGGTTACCCATTAAGATTCATCAGACGGCATAGCGTAACAACCCATCTCCGGGCCAACCAACGTAGAGAAGAATCCTCCTTACAGAGAACACGCATCTCCCTCCCATACATTAACAATATCTCAGAGGCCACGGCCAGATTGCTGGCCCCCCATGGAATAGAGGTGGCTCACAAGCCAAACCAAACTCTACGGTCTAAAGTCATGCGCCCAAAAGACCCCCTACCTCCTATGGAGAAATCATCTGTTGTCTATAAGATCAATTGCAGGAATTGCCAAGGCAACTATGTGGGGGAAACAGCCAAACGCCTGAAGACTCGTCTCCATGAACACCAATTGGCTATAAAACGGGACGAGCAGCATTCACAACTTTGGATGCATATGGCGCAAGAGGGCCACCGATTTGACTTTGCTAATACCTGTATCGTAGCTAGTGATGCCACGAAGGGAGGCCGGCTACTGAAAGAGGCCTGGTTCTCAAATGACAGCTCAATTAATCGTCGCATTGACTTGCATCCAGCGCAACAAGCGCTGCGGAAATGGGACTCAAACTCATTACATCGCAAGCGATCATACCAACACTTGCGTCGTTATGGACAGGAAGCCGCATCCCCTCACCGCCGGGAACGCCTGCATACGGACGTAAGTAACTATACCATCAACACCCCCTTGCCAGGTGACCGGCGCCAGACCGTGCAGCAAGAGAGTCTCCCACCCCAACATGTGGACGCTGGAATAGAGGCTACGGACTCCCCACGCACGGAAAAAGAAAGGGAGGGGCGCCCGATATGGATGATCTACGCACCACCCAACAACCCCATGTGAGGCTCACACCCCCCCAGGAGGGAGGAAGCAATACCAGTGGAGCCGGAACACCTAAAAGACTTGTTAAAATCTCGGAGTGTGCGATTGCCCATAGCAACGAGGAGGAGCGTCCCACATGGAGAGGGGAGAGAAAGCATAGAATGACAACCCGCTCGATCAGTAAGGGGAGGAGTAATGAGAGCGGTTTGAGTGCCAAACAACGGGAGGGAACGGATGTAAGGAGGACTGGGGTGGGGAATAAAGACATGATTGCTGAGGCATACCATACTCAGATAAGAGCTGTTGACACGACAAAGGAGGAGAGAGGTATACAATTGGGAAGGGATATTAACCCACAGTTAGTGGAACCCTATCCCCATCACAAGACACAAGAAAACATCAGATTGAATCCTCCCCCCGATACGGCAGGCGTTGGTATTATCAGAAGAGGATTGCAAGGTTACTAACGCCTCCAAAGACCAATAGTGGAGTGATAGGGAAGGGCATCCGAAGAGAAGAACATAACATTATAGACACATCTTGGTTATCAGCTGGCCAATCAGGGCCAGTAACACGGTCTAGGAGCCGTGCGCAAACGTTACTTGAACCTACTTAAACCACCTTTATTGTAATGGCCTTTTAGCCCTGACGATGCTGGGGAGTTCCCCCAGTGAAAGCTTGGCAACTTTTTAGTATAAGTATATTTTTAGTAAAGTATTCTTATTTTAACCCTCCCGGTGATCGTATTTTATTCTTTTATTCATATATATATATATGTATATATACACACATACATACATACATACATATGTGTATGTATATATACACATATGTATGTATATAAATATATATAAATAGTAAAGTTCTTAAAAAGAAAGGAGAGAGAAAACCTTTTCCTTCTTTTTTTCCTTTTTAGTGTCCAAATAAAAGTAAAATATAGTCTTTCAGTATTTGTAAAATGCCTTCCCAAAGAAAGCAGAAGTCACCTTTCCAAGCCAGGGAAATAATTTCAAAAGCTCTTACAGGTACACAAATGAAAAAAGGCGGAAAAGAGAGAAAAATAAAAAAAATTCTCACCCGGATTCACTACTGGGGCACTCAAAGCTTAGATGTTGTCTGACTTATGGTCTGAAGCGGCTGGGCGATCGGCCATGTTACTGGCCGATCTTCTCCGTCGGCCTTCGGAGATTCGTCCGGACAGCTGGAGGAGCCGCCGCTCCTCCACAGCCGGATAGCAGCCTCCTTAACGGAAATTGCACCCTCCAGGGAGACTTTGGACCCGTATAAGGGTCCACCGATGGAGGGAAACCTAGCCAACGAGGAGAGAAGTCTCCCCGTTGACTAGTCACGCCGCGAACCGGAACCAGAAGCCCTAGATTTTGTTTCTGATTGTCCAGGGAAAGTATGAAAAAGGACTAGGACAATTCCAGGTATCCTAGATTATTTTTCTTAGATTTTTTTAAAATTAGATTTTCCTGAGAACCTCTCTATGCCAGGGGTCTAGAGCAGGGCTTTTCAACCGGTGGTACGCGTACCACTGGTGGTACACAACCACCTGTCTGATGGTACGTGGCGGTGCCTTCCTCCCCCCACGTCGCTTTCCTCCCCCCTGTTCCTTCCCAGCTCACTTGTTTATAGAAAATGCTGCTTGGCGGCAGCCTGCACAA